CCCTTCAGTCTTACTGCAGCTCCTTCCCTTTTTCTCACGACCCTAATACACTAAGAGACTGGGCCACTTGTCCTACAGAGTGTCCACTGCCTTGTGTGGTGTTTGGCTCAGTCCTCACCCTGTGTTCCTGTGAACTGGGAATCACATTGAGAGTCTGGATTGGAATCAATTCAGAGGTTCTGCCAGGACCGTCATGGGTGTGGGGTGACATCACATCATGGCCAGGGGTTGGCCATAGTTTGTCCCTCTGTTGTGAAGTCACATCCTCCCTTGTGGCCTGAAAGTGATCTGGCTGTGGTGGTACTTTGGTGCACTTCTCATCCTGTACCTTTTTGACTTTTCCACCATCTATTTATATCTTTTTTCTCTTTTAATGTTGCCTGTGGTAATCTGAGCTTATTTTCTTATAATTTGCCTTCTTCAACTGAAAGCAGTCTTGCCTGTTCCTCCCTCTGAGGCAGTAAAGTGAGGGCCCTGGAGGGTCTTCTGTGGGGAACAGATTTAGAAGCCTGAGCTCAGGCCAGGTGCTGGATGGGAGTGTCCTCAGTGGCTGAACGACATCGCGGACTCCATAGGAAGATGTCACCGTGTTGAGGAAGACCCAGTAAGCACTTCTTTGCAGGTCACTGATGAGGAAGGAACTTAGCTGGACTGGAGAACTGGTCACCAGAAGGCAGAAGCTCGCCCTGGGCTCAGTATCGGCTCCCCAGCCTTTCCCTTGAAGGACCACGGCTGGGCTGGAGCCCCAGTCCTGTTCCCATGAAGGCCTGGGAAAGGCCAGGGCCCCAGTAGGTTACCCATTTTTGTGTGAGGTGGAGAGTGGGAGTGCTGGACAGAACTCTGGCCCCCAGGTGGTCTGGTGGTTATGGGACGGAGCAGAGAGCAGTGACCTGGGCAAGGTGCATCCACCAGGGAGATCCAGCTGAGCCACTGTGTCTTGGATACTCCTGACCCCTCCCACAGCCCCACTGGTCTCCATTTCATAGATGTGGAAGCAGATGCCCAGAGAGGTCAGGCTATTTGCATGTGGTCTCACTACCAGTAAATGATGGGGACAGGATTTGAACCCTAGTATCCTTCTCAGCTCATGGGCACAGGCTTATAAGTGGTGGCAGCAGTGCTGGACCAGATGGGGTCTTCTCAGGCCCCCAAGCCTGGCGACCTTGCGTTCTCGCCAAGTTGTCAGATGTGCCTTGTGTGCCCAGCATCAGCCAGGGACACGGAGATGAGGCCCTCACCCTGTGTGAGGCTCACGTATCAGAGAACTTTACCAGAAGTCGTGCTGGTCACCATGCGTAGCTGTTTGCCAGTAAAGTTGCCTCCCATGGTGTCTGTTCCCTTTAATCAACGTATGTGATTGCAGATGCTGCTTAAGTGCTTTCTAGGAAAATTGTAAAACATAGCCAACAAGAAGAAGCGATTTCCTGTTTTTCTGTTACCTTGACTGCTTTGCTTTCTTCTTTCAGAATTACCCAAGATTGGCCAGCTGAACCATCTTTGTTAGAAAATCTTTTGGCCTTTGTTTTAGGAGAACATTTGGGAAACAGGGTCCTTCCTGCAGCCCAAGGTGTGGGCACCCAGGCTCGGCCTGGTGGTCCCTGGAGCAGGCAGAGTGGAGTGAATGTGGGAGGCCCTTGTCTCCCTGCACTGGGAGATGTTTCTTGGTCTTCCTCTTACGCTGTATTCTGAGGGAAGTGTTGGGCTTTTATAGGCTCCCTGTTCGACCTCTGCCCTCAGGCTTTCTCAGCCAGCGTAATAGACCAGAAAAGATAAAAATGAGGCCTACTCATGTTTATAATTCTTGGCCACGCCAAGTGAAGACTTTGAGCTCTTCCAGGTGGGATCTGTACACAAAAGGATGTCGTAGCGGTAGGAGAAGGACGGTGATGCACTCAGTGCTCCTTCAGTGATTAGCTAATGCTAACAATTCCTGCTCTTCCTTCCAGAGGGTGGTTGGTAAGACAGCAGCCGGCTACCGTGATGGTGGGCAATCTCTCGGGCTTGCTTTTTCCATGGGTTCCTGTGAGTTGTGGACCTTCAGATCCTCAGAGCAGGGCCAGGGCCAAGCTCAGGTGGTCAGAAGTGTCCATTCAGGCCTGTCTCACAACCACATCTGTGTTCACTGTCATGTGCACGGGCACAAGAGGTCCTTTGTGGGGCTGAAATGCTGTCAGTAAGGCAGGAACATCGCCGCTGGAATCCTCCCTTGCAGCTGAGACTGCTGTGTGCGTCTCAGCTGACACTCAGGGCTGGTGGCTGTGAGTTCTGCCACATGCGGAACTGAGAGCTGTACATCCGTTTATAAAAACCACAGCATTTAGGGGAATACCCCTTGTCTTTAATTTCCACATTGATGTGGTAAGCTATTTCCGTATGTGCTGGCTATGCGTTATTCCAACAGCATCGGTTATGGTAGACATAAACACGTCCATTTGCATTTGAAGCCCGTCTGGCCTTGCAGATATGCTGACAGGCTCAGAGGACAAGAGAGGCCTCATTTCTCCAGAAGGTCCCTGTTCAAGGCCCCGTCCCATTCATCCCTGGTCTGGCTGAATCAGGCCCTGTGAGTGTGCAGCCAAGTAGCAGCTTTTCTTGCCAAGGTGGGGCTCATTTTTCAGAGCACTTTTTGGGGTGTGGGGTGGAGTATGAGGTTTTCTCCTTTATTCACTCATGATTTCCAGTTGGTAGTAAATGAAGGATGTCACATGTGCTGTATTTGTTATAAACTGAGGGTTTTGTGAAGCAAGCCTCAGAGATTTTTGATCAGGAAGGAGGCTGGGAATGGGTGGCCTGAGTGGTTAACCATCTGGATGGGAGAGCTGCGTTCAGTTGAGGAGATTCCCCCAGAGCCGTCCTCCAGAACTGTACCCCAGAACCGTCCCCCAGAACCGTCCCCCAGAACTGTCCGGCTTCCTGCGTTTCCACCAGTCTGCATGGTGATGTCTTTGCTTCTAGAGCACAAGAAAGCCCAAACCTAAACACTGTGATTGGCATCGGTGAAGTTTGGCAACAAAACCAAAAGAAAATGTACTTTTGTTTTGGTATATTATTAAGAAATCAAATTATTGAGATGGATTTGAGAACATTGCAGTACCATCTAGTTTTTTCCCTAAAGAAACACTTTGGAAAATATAATTGGAGTGATGCACTAGGCTGAGATTCAACTTGATTTTATTTAGAAAAGTATATTTATATTTTTTATAACTGCAGCATTTTTTTTTGCTGTTTGACCTGATCATGTAGGTTTGAGTAGACGTGAGGCAGTTGGTTGCTGGCTTTTTTTTGTTATTTTGGATGGTTCTCTTGGTTGACACTAAATCACAGCAAACACACTGTGCTTCACGCCACAGAACTGTTCCAGATGAACTCCTACTGCTCTGTTTTGTGTTTTCTTTTGTGTGAGAAAGCAGTGCCATTTACAGTCTCCTGCCCTGCACTGCCCCAGCCTCTGCCCAGAGCAGCCCCTGCAGCCTCGCCTGGTTCTTCTCTGGACTACCTCCCCACCCTAACTGTTCTAGCCCTCTTCTCTTGCATTGTTCACTGTAGCCCAGCCAACTGGAAACCTCATCTGTCAGGAATCGTTCCCCACCCTTTTACTTTCTCCCAAAGAGGCAGATCCTCAGAAGCAAGTTTAGATTAGAGATTTAGGCAGAAGCAGCATTTGGGTGAGTCCTGATGGTTGGGTTTGCTAGAATGGATGTAATGAAAGGAGGAAGTAAACTAATACACAATTAGAGCATTTTCAAATGACTACCTATCAGCCATGAAATTGAATTCTCCATCTGTCTGTCCATCCATCCATCTGTTCATGCATCCATCCAATGGGTATTTGCTAACTGCTCTGCCAAACTTTGGGGATGGATGTAGTGAGAAGACAGGCCTGGGCCGTCCCCAAGGAGTATAACTCCGGTGTGACCTACCAAACTGCAGAATGGGGGGGGAGTGCCATGAGGGAGAGGGGGAGTGCTCACCCAGTCTGGGGGGAGGGCAGCCCTGGAGGTCCGGGCCGGAAGCTGAGCTTTGAGAACTGGGGAGGCTGGGGAGGTACTGGGTGGACTGAGGGAGCGACATGCACAAATGCCCTGAAGGAGGACAGAGCTTGCAGTCATCTAAGGGGGTGGTTTCAGAGAAGCTATGGACCCTCTCCTTGGGGGGGGGGGGTGCGGCAGAGGTGGGCACACACTCAGGTGCAAGCTCCCAAAGCTTTACGTCTGATCTCTGGAGGCACTTAGACTCCCTAATGCACAAAACATCCTGATGGCTGTGTCAGCCCAGCATTTCACTTGGGGAGGCCCAGCCAGACTGACAGTGTTAACGTGTCAAGACTCCTTTCCTGGGGGTTCATTACATCAGCTAGGAATTCACATCTCATCCCTTCAGTAAAAACTGTCTTTCCAGGAGCTGTTTACGAGTGTTTAAACTAGCTATGTACTTATAACAAAAAATGCATTTGTGTTTTTTTCAAGTCAACATAGAATTTTACTTAAAAAACAAAAATTTTTGCGATTACCACAGAAACGTTTGGGCTCATTTTCCATGATCTTGAACACTCTGAGATGTAAAATGAGATTCCCAAATGTGGGGGATCTCAAGTGGAGCTCTCGGTCCACAGATGCCCTGCGCTTGTTTAAATGATGTTCTCTGATCTGGCTTTTCAAGAACTACACTCCTGATCTTTAAAAAAGTTAGTTCCTCTCTTTGAAGCTGTGCAGCTCTGCAGTGAAGACTGAGGTTCTAATCCTCCTGAGGCCTTGACCGCTGGGCTTGCACCCAAAGGCTTCTTTTCTTGATCTGTGCCATGTGGCTTATGTAGTTGTGAAACCACATTTGAGGTTACTTGATTTTAACCTTGAAATATTTGCAAACCTTTCCTTTACAATGCTCATATTGTTGGGCTGTCACCAGAACTGTGGGTGTCTGGGGTGGGGTTTGGTTTGACCATCTAACTACTGAACATGAGCCTGTCCTTGGCATATGGTGACTTTGCCTCCCCCCTACAGCCACTTCCCCGCGGGTGTCCTCCGAGCTGGAGCAGGCCCGGCCCCAGACCAGCGGAGAAGAGGAGCTGCAGCTGCAGCTGGCACTTGCCATGAGCAGAGAAGTAGCAGAGCAGGTGGGTGCCCAGGAGAGTCTGCCACTGGTGACTGCCCTGTGCAGAGGGCAGGGCGGGCAGGGCGTGGAGCGCAGGGAGGATGCGCACGCAGCCCTGTCCTTGACATTTCCGATGTGCTTCCCGAGAGGTGACTTCTTGTTGCCGCAAGTGCTTGTCACCTACTGCCCCCAGTCAGGGTGGGGTCCTCTGCAAAGTTACATTTAGGAAAGGTTTTCAGGGAAGTTGTTGCCAAGGGGCGAACCAATCAGAAGTGCTTCCCAGAAACACTTGTGCAGACAGGACCACTTTGTGGGCGCTCTGTTTGAAGGAGCTGCACAGCCTCCTGACGGGGCGTGTGGGCACAGATCGGCCTTGGCCTCTTTGGAGGGCAGTTAGGTAAGCTGGAGCAGGAGCGTCTGAACACTGAAGGAAAACAGGCTAGAAGGAAACGCTCCAGGAAATGAGTGCGTACTTATACTTAGATGACATAAGTGTGTGTAGTTTTAATTTTGTTTCAGTTCCCGTTTTCTTTAGTAAGCATGTATTACTTTAAATGGAGAAGGAGGGAAAGGAACGGTTAAAATGACCTTTCAAAGTCGTCAGCCCTTTGATCGCAATTACTAGATCTGTCTCCGCAGACCTGTGGTTGAAAAGGGAGAGATGGAGTCAGGTGTAGTGTGGTGTCAGAGACAAATATTAAGGATAGTTCGATGGAAGTGCAAAGATGTTGTCCCAGCATGATTCGTATCGCTATAACCGGAAATACCTGAAGCTCAACAGCAGTGGACAGCTTCAGTTTGGCCCGTCTGTCTGCAGTAGGAAATACACAGCCATTAAATCTCTCCCTTTGCATGCCTGGCTCTGTCATCGACAGCCTAGGAAGAAGGGGCAGAAATACAGGGACAGACAGACGATTTGAGCCCATTTTAATTAATAACTCATCTCTATGATTTATCATATTTACAATAAAATATAATATATTTATTTATATTTAATCATTATATGAAAGCTAGGACGACCCAACTTTATTTTATTTGCCTTAAATAAATATAAATTAAATGTAATGAAACATTTCTGTTAGAAATCATAGAAATAAATATACAGTCATTTTCTGGAACAGTGAGAGGTGGAACAATATGTGATTTTCATCCTCTTTATTTTTTTTTTTTTAAAGATTTTATTTATTTTATTTTTCCCCCCAAAGCCCCAGTGGATAGTTGTATGTCGTAGCTGCACATCCTTCTAGTTGCTGTATGCGGGACTCGGCCTCAGGATGAACGGAGAAGTGGTGCCTCGATGCACACCCGGGATCTGAACCCGGGCCACCAGCATCGCAGCGCGCGCACTTAACCACCAAGCCACAGGGCCGGCCCTTCATCCTCTTTATAAGTCCTTCCTGAGTTGTCGGATTTTTGTATTTTATAAGGAGACATCTTACTTCTATAATTAGAAAGAATTATAAAGCCATTTTCATTTTGAGAAAAAACATTTTGGAATAAGTATTCCCTTTCCCGAATTTGGTGGTGCCTATGCACCCGTCTCCCTGCTGGGACCCAGAAATGAGGGGTGGAGCTCTCTGGGCTACACGTTCGGAATGGAAAAGTAACTGTGTTTTACAAGTTGTTTTCAAATCCTCCTTTGAAATAATACATAATACAGTTTTGCATTTCCTGCTCCTGGCTGGCGTTGCTTTGTTCTGTATAGTGATGTTGTTACAGTTACCACCAGCTTCAAGTTACATTGTCCTCTACAGGAAGAACGCCTCAGGCGGGGTGATGACCTCAGATTACAGATGGCCCTAGAAGAGAGCCGAAGAGACACAGTTAAAGTTCCAAAAAAGAAAGAGGTAAGCGCTTACTGGGAAGGTCAGCACGTGAGACTGTCCCGTAGCTGTTGCTGCAGTGTCCCAATCCAAACCTGCAGCTCGTGTGTGACCTGTGTGAGTTAGAGGTGCTGTTTTCTCTCTTCACTCGACAAATAATCCTCGGGTGTGATGAGCAAGAGTGAGGTGAGGACGTAATTGAAAACACATCTGCCTCTGCTGCTCCTGGCCTCTCCCGAGGGCACCCTGAGGGAGGAGGGGCACGGGCAAGGGGCCCAGTTGCCTGGGTACACATTCCCTCCATTAACTGGTGCCTCAGTTCCCTCCCCTGTAAAATGAGCAGAGTAACAGAGCCACCTTATGTGGTTATGGCGACTGTTACCTAAGTGAAGTGTCAAGCGCATTGGAACAATTTCCTGGTGCAAGGTAAGCCCTCCCTAGTGCTGGTCTTCATCGCTGTCATCATCCTTACTCTACGCCGGGCTCCCTGGTTGGGACCTAAAGGTGACCAGGATATGGCTCTGCTCCTGATAAGCTCATCATCCAGTCAGGAGACAGACACCCCCCAACCCCCAGTGGCCTCACATGTTACAGTGCTGCAAGGTGCCTGATGGCAGCCGTGGTGGCCATGGGAGTGGGAGGGTGGGGTCCCCAGGAGAGAGGTCCCTGGATGATGGCTGGGGGAGCACGGTCGGGGAGGACAGTATCCTGGACAGAGGCCAAAGCCCAGACTAAAGCCAGTGTTATCCTGGAAAGCCCTGAGGACTGTTTGAAAGTGGATGGGGCATTTGGCACATAGCAAATAGCTCTGATGTGGCTGGAGCCTGGGCTGTACTGGAAAATCGTGATCTTGGGGAGTGAGCGGGATGGGGAGGAAATGGGGTGGCTCAATTTTCCAGGTCTTCTTGGCGTCTCCCAGAAGGCCTCTACTCTAGTAAGGAGGCACGGGCAATATTTATGGCTAACGTGTGGATATTTGTTGTAACTGTAGCAAAGTTAAACCTGTCCCTTTCTCTTTGTCTCAAAAGCACGGCTCCCACCCACAGCAGACCACTCTGTTGGATTTAATGGATGCCCTTCCCAGCTCGGGCCCTGCTGCCCAGAAAGCAGAGCCCTGGGGCCCATCAGCTTCAGCTAACCAGACCAACCCCTGGGGTGGGCCAGTGGCCCCAGCCAGCACATCGGACCCCTGGCCATCATACGGTAAAGAACCCCCTCATTTGTCTCCCGTGCCTGCCTGCTGGATGGGTGAGGGACAGCAGGGCAGAGCTTCTTGCTGTCTCTCACCTGGACGATGGTGGTGGGGTCTAGGCTTCTGCAGTCCCCGACTGTAATATCCAGCAGGCTGCCGCCCTCCTCCTGAGGACTGTGTACAGCGCTCTCTTCCATTCCATTCTGAATGGTTTTCTGCTTTGGTAGAGGAAAAGCTGACTTCCTCTCTACTTCCCACATGCATCAGAAATGGCTTGTCCCTTCTCTGGGACACATGTCAACTCTCTCAGCCTCAGAATTGCACTCAGCACCCTAGATTAAGAAGCTATAATACACAGCATGAAACATCTAAATCAAGTTGCTATAATTAGCTGGAAATTATGATGTGCTTAACAGGACTGCTAATGAAAAGAGGATACGTTTGCTGGAATTCTTCTTACTTGTTATTTAAAACAATAGGAAGTCAGTTTACTAAGCTAAATGAATATTTTAAAGCCCTAATGTTTAATGCCAAATATAAGAGAATTTGTGATAGGAGATTTGAAATATTGAGTGTGGCACAATCAGTTTAATCTGGATGAGGTTTTGGTCACATGGGTGTCCTGATTGATGGACACACGGCTTGGCCTGCAGGTTCGTGATGGCCTCCCACCCAGCCTGCTGCTCTGGGAGGCCCCCTCCGGGTGCTCTGAACACTGCCAGCCATGGCTGATCTGTCGGCTTTCTGACTAGGAACTTTGAGTTGTATGTCTTGTGGAAATTTGCCTCTATTTCTTGGGGTCTCTGTTTCCCCAAACTGGAACCATCTTTTGTATTCAGCTCGGTTCCCTGGATGTTTACCAAAGTGTACCAAATGCCAGGCTCTGTCCTGCCATGCAGGGACCCAGACACAAACAGGTAGTGGTCCTGCCCTCAAGGTGCTGGGCAGGTGTAGGCAAGGCAGGAACACCAGTGTAATAGCAGTGCTGTGTGGGCCAGGCCTCAGCGTTGGCTCTTTGAGAGCATCCTGGGGCAGGGCTTAGCTCAGGAATCTGGAGAGTGTGAGGCAGGCATCTTGGAGGAATCTTCAAGGAGGAGGAAGAGTGGACAGGCCATGAAGAGGCAAGGGTGTTCTCAGCAGAAGGCTCAGCTTGTGAGAGTCGTGAGGGCATGCAGTGGTGTAGTGGGTACAGGTGTGGGGAAACCGCATAGCAGAGGAGTGGGGTAGGGGAGAGGAGGGTGAGGGGTGGGAGGAGGAGTGGCCTGGTCCCTCAGGGCCTGGCAGCCTTGTCCAGAGGTCAGTGTAGGCCCCACATGTTCTTGGGCGATGCTATTGGCCTCAAGGACCCAGGCAGAGCCCCACAAACCTTTGGCAGGAGCCCTCTGGGCCTTGGGGCAAACCCTGGGCCAAATGGTCCAAAGTTCTCCCTCACTGAAGGCCAGCACCAGGGCTGCCAGAAGGTTGGTTCACATGGTCCGTGGCCTGTATGCTGTGCCGCCAGGGAGGCTGTGGGGTAAAGTCTCACTTTAGTCCCCCCTCACATGGGGACAGCAAAGCAGGTTAGCAGGAAATGCCCACACAGTGCTGCCCGAGGAGACAACAGGCCCTTCCAGACAGTGGCTTTGACTTTATTTTTAAATCTAAAAAACAGTTCTTTTGTAAAGTGATGGCCACCTTAAGTTATGGATAGGATATTCCTCAGGAAAGACTATGAGTCCCTTTCAAAATTGCCTAATGGATCATTAATAAACAGACGGGTAGTTTTCCTGGTCCATGACGCCTGCGAGTGTGTGAGAACCCCACTCACTGGAGGTGGTCTTGCCCCACCCACCAGGAGATGCCCCAGCTCCCCGTGAGGCTGGGTTCCCGCCTCACTCATGACCCTCTGCTCCAGGGCACAGCCTCATGCACTGGCAAAGGAAGGAGGGCAAACCTGTTCATTTAGAATGTATGTATTTTGTCTCTCCTAACCAGGTAATACTTACCCCCGGTTAATAAGTCAAACAGTTTAAAAAAAAAGGTAGAGAGGGAAAACCTGTCTCCCTCCCACCACCGCCCAGCCCCCAAGCCCCTCCCCAGAGTCAACTGGTGACTCAGCATAATTCAGTCATAATAAACTCACCCGGCTCCTAGTGTGACTGCTTTCTTTTCTGGGCACTAGAAAACTACCCGTCTGTTTATTAATGATCCATTAGGCAATTTTGAAAGGGACTCATAGTCTTTCCTGAGGAATATCCTCAGTTTTTTTTTTTTTGTGAGGAAGATCAGCCCTGAGCTAACATCCGATGCCAATCCTCCTCTTTTTGCTGAGGAAGACTGGCCCTGGGCTAACATCCGTGCCCATCTTCCTCCACTTTATATGGGACGCCGCCACAGCATGGCTTGACAAGCGGTGCGTCAGTGCGCACCCGGGATCCGAAACCCGGGTTGCCGCAGCAGAGTGCGTGCACTTAACCGCTGTGCCACTAGGCCGGCTCATGAATCCAATTTTTTAAAGAGAAGATTGAAACGTAAATTGTTGAAACCTATTAACTTTTAAATGTTGACAATGAATTCTAAAAATGAAAAACATGGTTGAGGCTAATCAAAATATACCTGTGGGTGGCCACGTGTGGCCCATGGACTGCCAGCTTGCCGTCTCTTGCCACTTGCCCAGCCCAGGGCCCTCTCCTTGGTTGTGATGCACTGGGCATTTGTACCAGTAACTTGGGGAGAAAAGCAGGCCACCAAAGCCCAGAGAGGCTGTTTGTTTCTCTGGGGTCACACAGCAAGTTAGGGGCAGGCTCAGTGCTTATAGCACCTTGTCCTGGAATTGTCATGCCATCCTGGAAAAAAAAGTCCTCTGTGGTGAGCATGTCCTGGAAAAGTCACCACAAATCCCAGCATTGAGAGAGAACCAGTGTTAAAATGTTAGCTTATCTGCTTCCTGTTTTTTCTGGGCACTTATGTTTTTACGTAGTCAAGGTCATATTGTATATACAATCTTATAAATATATAGAGATATTTCAGTTTGTACTATGCGATGAGCATTTCCGGCATCATTAGAAACTCTAAACAACTTGGCTCCAGTGGGACAGCACAGGGCTGTACCTCCATAACCCAGTGGCCCGTTGTTGTCCACGTGGTGGTTTTGCAGTTCTTAGCACTCTGCTTTCAGTAGCTCTGCAGGAGACGGCTGGACACCAGCTCCCGAATTCACTGGAGCGTGGTAACAGTCCCTTTGCTTCCATCTTCCGAGACATAGCTCCAGAGCACGACGGATTAGTTTCTAGTAGAATCTGATAATGTGCATTTTCACAGCCACCCCACCATCCTGAAACACGTCCATCAATTAGAAAGATTAGAGAGTCTCTTCCCAAACGCTATTAGTTGCATCCTCTCAATGAAAGAAGTGTGGGTTTGAAAGTCCCTGTTTGTAGTGAGCCCTGCCATTAACAATGCTTTCCGAGCAGCACTGGGGGCAGCTTGGCCAAGTGGCCTCGGGAGGAAATGCTAAGGGCTGAAAGAGGGGAAATTGCAGCCTGCCAGGTCAGTGGGGCACTTCCTCCTCTGTCCAGACACACAAAGCAGCCACCTGGTGTGAGGAGGGCTCACAGTCTGGGGATTCAGAAGGCCTTGGCTGGCTCGGGCCCACTCTCTGCCCACCCACCCACTACTCAGGCCAGGACAGAGGCTGTCTTCCGCCCTGGCGGCAGCAGGTGGTGCTGCTGGTTTCTTGGTGCCCCCCGCAATGGCTGAGTTCTGTGATCCCACCATGTGACTGCCTCCCTGTGCACATGAATATTCATACGTGAGGCTTGGGATGAACCAGGCTGGCAAGGGAGAGGCAGAGGGAATGCATGCTCCCTATGAATGGGCCCACAGAGGAGGAGGCCGGAAGCTGCTTGATCTTTCTGCCCTTGGTTCCATCCTCCTTTCCTCTCATTCACTCGAGTTCTCAATAAGCATTTATTTATCGGGTGTGTGGCATGGCCTGGACCCTGCCGAGGACATGGAGGCCAGAGTACAGAGGAGCCTTGCAGTGAATCCACTGTCCATTCATGGTGGAGGAGGATGGAGGGCCGGGCCCCAACAGTCGCCCTGTCAGCAGGCGTTCACTGGGGGCCTGCTGTGCCTGGCCCCCTGCTGCCTGCTTTCCCACGGCTAGCTTATGTGGGCCGTCAGCACCCGTGGAAAGGCGGAGGGAACACTGTCTGTCCCCAGGTTAGATTTGAAGACAGTGAGGTGCCACAGTATGTGACCTCTTGTGACTCCTGGTGCACAGTGGGACAGAAAGTTGGCACTGTGCTGTATGCACATAGGTCCCCAACTGCCACTTGCAGAATAGAAACCTGACAAAGCTCACTGAGGCTAAGTAACTTATTCGTGGTCATCTGGCTGATTTGGGGGTGGCCAGGGTTTGAACTGAGCACATCTTTCGCTCCACAGCCACAGCTCTCCAATCTGTGACCAACTTGGTCCATGTGCGTGGTGGCCCAGGAGCAGGGGGTTCCTTCCAGGCCAGGGCTTGTTGATTTCCACATGGTGTATCATGTAGATTGCTGGTCTGTAAAGTTCTTGACTGTGCTGCTGTTTTGTTGTTTCACAGGTCCTAAAGGGGAGCAGGGCCCCTGGGAGGTAACTGGAGGTGTCAAAAGAGGTTCTCGAACAGTTTCAGGGTGGGGCTGCGTAGCAGTGGGGCGCTCTGAGTGGAAACCTTGCCTGAGAGCCCCAGATGGCAGGGCTCAGCATGACACATGCTTGTGGAGAAAGCTTTAGGATGCATGCAGTGTATGCAGCTTCATATGGCAGAGCGTTCGGATAGACAGAGCTCTTTAGCAATATAAGTTTATCAGTTTTGGGGAAAACTCGTGTGTTTAGACCCGTATTGCCTGAGAGGGGTTCCAGATAGAGAAGTACATCCTATTTTTGCACACACACAACCGTGTGTGTGGTCCCTGAGGGACTTGCCTACGTGAGGTCAGGAGGGCAATACCCGAGGCTGGGGCTGGTGAGGTGGCTGAGGAGAGTG